CACTTAGCCTTTAGTAACCTAATTTCGACAAGTATTCTGGTCATGGTCTGAAAATAGACAAAATACTCAGAGCTGTTGCCAGTTTTTCTTACGGAAAATGAGAAGGGTTATATGTATTTTTCTTATTACCAAATTTAGCTTTCCTCGATTTATGCATTTGAAGGGAACCCTATAAACTCTTATGTACATATACGTGATTTTATTTGAACTTGTAATTTTACTGAGGCAGAGATGTGGAACTCTTAAGATACGTTAGATTGGGGTCATTTAGCAAATGGTCCTACTTAACAGACCTGCATGCATATTTCAGAATAACTAAGTTTTTAGATAGTTATCTGTCATGAAGTTTTGACTTTTGTATACTTTATGGAAAAAATGATATCAAGTGATTGTGAGACTTGAGGTTTTGAAAAAGCCTTAAGCATAACTAAAAGATGCCGTCGTTCTTTCTAGAATCGGGGGCCAGCTACAGAGCACACACAGTTTAGACTACCTGTGGGTAGACTATTCTCAGAGGTCATCAGAAATTAAGGTATTTTAGGGTTTGAGCAGGTTTAGTATCTTAGCATAAACCACACCCTGTATCTCTGTTCACCCTTAGAGGTCCCTATTAGCAGTACCCTCTTTTCTTCATTCTCCAACAGCTGTCTCATTTCCCTCTACTTTCTCAAATTATTTTATGTTTTAAAATAATGCAGTTTTTATCTTACTGTTGTAATTACTACTTTTTTCCTAACAAAAATGAATACTCAGGATATTTTTGCAATACATGATATATAATGATTAATAGTATGTGGTAGGGGAGAGAAATGTAGTATCTCAGATTTCCTCCATTCTTCCAATTCTGTTTAGCTGTACTTTATCATTTGTGCATAGAACTCTAGCTGTGTAGTTTGCCGTAAAATCTCGGAAAAGAAACAGGAATCACATAGAATCGAATTATAATGTAAGCTAATAAGCAGTTAGGGAATGTCCATATAAATGTAGATAGGAAAGCAGCAGAATAGTTAGATATGTAAAATGTAGTCTCCTGTCTTTAGTGTAATGACATCACTACAGTTGTGCTCCGTAAATATGTTTTCAGTAGTACCTAGTTCCAGCATACATTGATGAGTTTTTACTCTCCTGCATAAAATGTCCTCCTTATAGAAATGATTACAGTAAATTCATTGCTTTTTACATATCAATGATGTATAGTAAATGGGCTTTAAGATGTTTGCCGGTTGTCTTGAGGAGGTGTCATTGTGGCATCCTTAATTTTTCTTCTCCTTCTATATATAGGGTAAGGGACTGTTCTTCTGAAGAACCTTTCCATTTAGTGATCAAGATGCAGAAGCTGATCTCTGAAAATACTCAGTGTGTATCCTAATTGTTCATGTTACCGTTTCCAATTATAAACTGCATTGTAGCAGCACATGTTCCCACTTGACTCTGGGGAAACAATAAAATATGCCTCTTGATACCATATTGGCTGCTGGGATTTTTGGGGGGGGGGTTGGTTTTTTTGTTTTTCTGCTTGAGTTTGGCATTTTACATATTGCTTTTAAGTTATAAATGGTGTTTCTTGACTAGGGATTTAGCTCAGTGGTTTCGCCGCCTGCTGCGCAAGTGCAAGGACCCAAGTTCGATCCCCGGTACCAAAAAAAAAAAGACATTTCTAAATGCTGGTTCTCACCTGGTATTGCTTGGCTGCTGTCTCACTAACAGCAGACGTACATGTGCTCAAATACAGTTAAGGACTGGTGGGTAACTAACATAAGTAGGAGTCCTGTAGCATTCTCAGAGGACTTGGCTGTGCTTGTGAGTCTTAGAGCCAGGGGAAGGTGGGCAGAGGAGTTTCCCAGAGTACTCCAGATTGCCCTCATAGAACCCGCAGCCTGTGGGACTGGTTTTCCTCATTAAAGCACTGAGTGCAGACCACAGGGTGCGCTGTGTGCCTCCTCGGGTTTTCCTGGCAGTGAGAACAAGTAATTGGCTGGCTCCCTTTTCTTACCGGCGCAAGTGTACGGCTTTATCACCGAGCACACATTGGGCTTTCTACCCCCAACCTGCCCACTCTGTTTTCCGAAGGAAGTGTCTTCAGCATTTAAAACTGAGTTAAAGACAGGGACAGAGGAGTGGGGCTCCAGTGCACAAAGCGGGACTCAGCGTGCAGCTATGTAGGAGGCCCTCACCCAGCCAGAATTGACTGCTGCCAAGTGCAGAGGGAGGCCGGTCTGGTCTCGGTGGCTTTTTAATGGGTCAGATGGCAGTGGCTCCTAGTGGCCGTGCTGTAATTTTCTTCTTGGGCCACTGGGCTGTGATCATCTCCCTCGTGTGGCCCTTGAAGTCCTTGCCTCTGGTCCAGTGGAGAGCACGAGCAGTTGCCGGGGCAGGTGGAGTGCAGTACTGCACACCTGAAGACCTTTCACATGCCTCTCCTGATGAGAAAGTCTGGTTAAACTCGGTAAGGTCTAGTAGGGAGCTAAGGAGTGGATAACAGAAAGCCAAACACGGGTATTCAGGAACAACCCAAATCTTAAATTTTCTTGAACAGGGTTGCCAAATGTTTCTCAAAAGTAGTGCTAGACGTCGGCTTCCAACTGGTCTGAAAAATAGCCAACAGTTTGTTCATTCCTACAGTTAACCCCCAGCGGTGAGCTCCCTTTGTTTGCCCAGTTCACATGTCATGTGCCAATTGCCTGTTTGAACCAAGCCTTTCCCTCCAGTCCTTGGGGCAAATGAGATGGCTACACGTCCATTTCCCACAGACCTGCCCCTTCGCAGCTCATTTTAGGAGCTCAGTTGGAACACAGAAGTCTGGGTAACTATTTTTACTAAATAATTCTTGCTTAAAAATGAATGCCTTTGCACAGTAATTGAAAATGTTAATGCTTCTGGTATGGTTCTGACATATTTAAAGCAATTTGGGAGCATCATTGAAAACCAAATTCATGTCCAGAACTTACCAGAGAAGCCCAGAATCCGGTTTCTGCACATTCACACGGACCAAAGCCATCCTACTGTGTAGGAGTCTGAGGTGGCCTGTCAGGCGCTGTCATCCCCCGCTGACAGTTAACACGGTGCCAGTGCTCCCTCCTGCGTCATTGTCGTTTCCCTGCCCTGTGTTTTCGAATATTTGCTGTAGGTTGGGCACTGTTTACCCACAGTCACTTAATCCTCCTGTGATCACATGGGAAAAAGAATTCCACCTGCTTTACAAATCAGGCAAGTGAAGCAGAGTTAAGGAAATGATGGGCAGTGTTTGAGTTATTAATGAAGAGCTGAATTCAGATTCGGTCAGTGCGTATAACCATTGACACACATAATCCCAGTGATGGAAAAGTCCATTTGCCAATCAAAGAGTACCGATTACCTAGCAAGACCAGGTGTAAACGTGCCCCATCCTGGAGTTCTTATAAAATTACATAAGTATGACCCTAACGTTGAGGGAATAAAATTCAGGTAAGGTAGAAATGAGAGTGAATACATAGGGCTGGTCAAAAATAGTGTTCACTTGGTAAAAACCATTCCACTGAGCAGTCCATCTTCTGTATCTATGTCAACATCCTGAAAAGGCTGTCGCGAAGCTGTAACCAGTATGAACTTGAAATGAGGGTAAGTTAATTTGGATTCAGAGTGTGTTATTTATAACAAGCATCATAAAAAAAAAAATAGCGTTCAGGACTCAGATTATAGGGAATTGTGGGAATGAGAAGAAAGATGGTTGAGCCGGGGATTTAGCTCAGTGGTTCCACCCCCTGCCTCGCAAACACAAGGTCCCAGGTTCGATCCCTGGTACCGGAAAAAAAAAAAAAAGATGGTTGACAGGAACCAAAGCAGGTCACTGTGGGACTTGAGTGGAAATGCAAGTCCAGTTTGGTAGTGTAGCTCTGAAAGGGGTAGTCTACCACCTTGGACTGAGACTCATTGTCTTAAGGGAGCCTGACCAATTGACCTTATTTTCTATTGTGTTGATACATTTCCAGAAAGTTCTTTTGAAGTTAACCTGAAAGCTAAGTACACTTCCTGTGACCCCTGCTTCAAAGGAAACTAAGTCTTACTCTCTCACTAAAGGTAAAAAGGAAACAAGCTACATTTGCTCGCTTTAACATTTATTTGAATTACTTCCCGAACCCAAGATACTCCATCTCATCTGGGAGGATGACACAGAAAGTCTTGGTCACACCGTGTTGGGTTGGAGAGGCCTTTGGTCCCTTGGGTAATGTCTAATTGTGTGATTGGAATTCAGTCATCCACCCCAAACCAAAGCACATATACCCCAAAATATTCAAACCTTTGGTTACATTGTATTTTTCAAAGTGTGAGCAAAGAACGACCTGCATTAAAATCATTTGTGTTTATTTTCATTTCTCCCAAAAATTCTGTTTCAGTAAGCCTGATGGAAATTAAGACTCATGCCTTTGTTTCCCTCTTAGGTGGAATAAAATTTGTCAGTTGTGTGGTCTTCTCTTTTCACCAGTCAGCTGTCTGGCCTTCGGTTAACCAGGATTCAGGCAGTAATGTACAGCCTTGGGGAAAAACAGCAGCATGAGGTTTGCCTGCTCTCCGGATGTGCTTACTTGACTCAGTATTTCCCTCAACTTTTGTTTTTTTGAAACCAGGGATCGAACTCAGGACCTTGTGTTTGCAAGGCAGGCAGAAGGAACCACTGAGCTAAATCCCCCGCCCTCCCTCAGCATTTTTAAACTATTAGGTCTGAGTGGAAACACGTTATTTCATGCCAAAACCTGTAGTTGGATTCAAAAGAGAACTGAAGTTTCATTGTATCTGACAAAGGGCCTGAGGAAAAGGATTTAAGAGAATTTAGAGGATCTTGTGTATTCATTTGTGGAGACAGCAACTTTTAAGTTTTTAGGGGACAAGAAAATGTCGAAAGCTCAGGGTGGCAGATGGAGGGAGAGGGGAAGGGGAGGTGTCCAAGGTGAAGAACTGAAGAGTGTTACTGATAGAATTGACTTTAACCTTATATGACCGTATCATTGAACATAAAACAGCAGTAAATCAGTTACACCATTTATTGACAATGGAATTATACCGAAAATCATCTGAATAGTTTGGTTTACTAAGTAAAACATCTCTGCAAAACATAGGTCCAAAGGGTTGTCTGAATGTCAGTGTAGAAGCCCCTGTAGAGACGTTGCAGCAGTGAATGAACTCAGGCCAAGCAATTGTGTGTGCGGTTTTTGTCTTTAATGCCTGTATCTCAGAATGCACCACATTTTAGCTAGGCTTCTTAGAATGGATCTGCTCACATCCAATGTATGAAGGTTATTTTTGGTCAATGAATGAGCACTTACCCATACCTATAAAGGAAGGTGACAAATAGTTTAGCTTCTGAATATAGAACGGTCTCTTCAGTAGTACCATTCTTTGGTGGAATTTCTTTCTGGTCCTTGGAGTCTTAGTTTTTTCCTTGAGATTTTCAGAAAAGACAAGGCTATAGATGAAACTGGTATTAGAGACCTCGGTGGCAGGCATTGTCTCGAGACCATTTTAACCAGTGACTGACATGTTTGGGAGGTGCTAGGCTTGGGTGAGAGCTCTTGACATGGGTTTAAGATGGGACTTCTGGGGTTCTTAGTATCCTAATTTGCAGTCAGTTGTTTTGCGGTGGATGGACTTTTTCGAGATGGTGTTCTAGGGTTCCATTTATATTTGCTGGCATTGCTCCAATTCCATCTTGAAGCATTTATTTCAAGCTTACCAGAACCAGAATTGGCTTTTGCCTTTTCTCGACTTTTATCTACACTTGATGTCTGAAGACTCAAAGAGTCAGCACGTGTTGGCTGTCTCACCCTCAACACAGCTTTGGAGGAGGAGAGTGCTTCGGAAACAGCTGAAGCACAGGGCAGCATCTGTAGCCTCTGCCTCTCTTTCTGTATAGTCGTGTGTTGTGATCTTTCCAGTTCCAGTAGACAAGTGATCAAGTGCTCTGTGGAGCTGTCTAGAGGTTCCACTGTTGCTTTCCAATTTTCACATTTTGAGAGGGCCAATTTGTGCAAGTCCAGAGTATCAAAGGGAGAGGGAAGAAAATCAGGATATAGAAATGCTTCGGTGGGTTCCTCAGTGAAAGATTCCTCAACGTTGTCTATTGTTTCTGGCTTTAAATTCATGTCCATCTTCTTAAAATAGCTGAGTAAGGTGTCATTTGCCTTCTCATTCTCTGATAAATTACTTCCATCTGTTAAATTTTCTTCCACACTGCTGTTTCCATATCTCAGATTACAAACTGGAGCAGGTAAAGTTTCTTCATTGTTGTTTTCTGTGGTGGAACATGAATTAGTCTGAAGCTCGTTTCTGCCCTTAAGAAAGTCCCTGTCAGCATAGGGCCAGCAGAAACCTGGCACCGGCGGTCCAGCCTGAGAACCACCTTGCGCATCAACTAGGGTGCTGGCTAAAGAGTGTTTCAGAGTGCAGAGCTGTGTGGAATTACTGGTTACATTAAAGCCAGTTTCCACTGAAGATTTTTTGAATGCCCTTTAAAAAATAATGTAATTGATGAGTGGTTTGTAGACTAGAATTAAGGTGCTATTCAATGATACGAATGAGTAAACTACCAAAGTTGGTTAATGTTTACTTCCCAATGGTAGACAGATGGATGATAGATAGGATCTGTGACAGACATGTTAAATTCCAAATATGCTAAATTATATACAATTATATAAATTCAGATATAGATTAAAATGTTAATTGGGCATCCTTTGCACAAACAACTCACTAGATGATGAGCCTTAAAAACAGCCCACTCCATGAATAGCTGCTAGGCCAAAAGTGGCCAGTATTGCATCTCTTTGCCTATAGTGTGCATGAGATTAGGGTGCCTGAGACTCAGGCTGTCCATCTCAAGCTGAAATTACAGTGAAATGCTTATTGACCCAGAATTGGATAAAAGGAAACTTTGAAAGAATGTAGTTAGGTTACTTAACCAAGGTTTCTGTTAACTCTTTTGCATTTTCAAAATTATTATAACAAAGATAGTAAACCGTGTCTAGCAATCCCAGATATAGTCACTGGTAATTTTCTTCTAACAGTGATCTTTTATTTTAGGAGTAATACTTGTATTATATTTAAATACTGAAATCACAAATTATACTGAAAAATGCAAAAAGGCAGGCCATAGATTAGTGAGTTTCTAGTGTGTTGTTTTTTTTTTTTTTAAGATAACTAGAAAGTGAAAGATTTGGTGCATTTAATTGCATGTAGTTTCAGTATCTCTTGCTTCTTTTAAGGCCACCTTGTAATAAAGATAAAGGAATCTAGGGTTTTGAAAAATATTTCATTTTACAGAAAGTGATAAATGTATTCATTTAGCTAAATACTAGGGATATTGCCTTGTCTTTGGACGACCACAGGAAAAACGCTATATCTACAATTTCTAAGAGACACAAGCCCATGAGGTAGAGTAAAGAGCACGAAATCTGGGTGAGAGGCCCAGGTCTAAATGCCTCTGCCACTACTGAGTCAGCGAACCAGAAATGATCACAGCACTCGGTGGTCTTTGAGACAGGACAGTGTCGTGTGCGTGCACTTTGTGAGGTGTTCAACACTACATGGAAGTTAGCATTACTTTTACTCTCTTGTTGATCATGTATCGAGGAGAACATTTTTAATAAGATATTTCACCGATACCAGACTTCCATGTCTGCACCATCATGGAGCCTCTCCAGTATTAACGGTGAATTCCTATCAAACACATAGTTCTGCTTAGCCCTCACAGTAACCCCCAGGAAATGGGCTCTTGTATTTTCCACCTTCTACAGATAAGGACACTGAGGTACAGAGTGGCCTGAGCTCACAAATCTAGTGGTGGAGCTGGGACTTGAACTAGGTGGTGACATCTCATGGCTGTGATCCCAACCACTGCCTTTTCCTGCTTCAATTGATGCTCACTCCTTCCCTGCTATGATAGAATTTTTTTTTTTTTTTTGGTACCCGGAATCAAACTCGGGACCTTCCGCTTGTGATCCAGGTGGCGGAACCACTGAGCTAAATCCCCGGCCCTATGATAGAATTCTTTTGACCTCTTTCCTTGAAATCCTTGTTCCCAGCTAAGTTCCTTCTCATAAAAGCAGGGTTTCCTGTCTCCCCAGCACCAATACCCGCTTAGGACAGGAGGGCTCACCATAATTCTCTTTAGCACTTCTTGGTTTCCCCTGAATTTCAGCATAAGGGGAGCTTTATTCTGGGCCTTGTGGAGGTAAAATCCTCTGACCAGGACACAGGTGCTAGCAAACGAACCACTTTGTTGGTACAACTGGAGAAAAAAAGGAATGGAACAGAGGCTGTCCATTGACTAACTCACTGTACAAGTGACACAGCACAGTGTTCAGTAAAAGGAAATTTCTGAATACCAGTAACCTGCATTTTTAAACAGTCTAGCTGACTCTAATGTACAATTGAAATTTAAGAACCAAAATATAAGGATCCAATCCCAGTGAAGGTTTGAGAAGCAATATACGCTGGTAACTATGAGCATAAACCAAGCTATTTTTGCATCCCAGTTGGGCAAGTTACTTACTTGGCACCACGTCATGGAGTCCTCATCTGTACAGCAGGGTTACTGACAACCATACTTACACTGTAAGGTTGGTGAGAGAGTTAAATGTGTTCACCCATTTAAGGAATTCAAATAGTTCCTGCACGTGAAATAGTACTTTTCCTATTATATGATGTGATTGAAAAGTACAGTGAAGGTATAAGAAAATTATTGCAGTAAAAGACACACTGACATCCATCTCCCTCAGAAATACTCGCCTTTGCCTCTAGCACATCTATCCTTTTATTCTTGCCACTTTCTGCAGCGGTTCTGGAAGTCCTCTTTCATGTGTGTTTTTAATTGCATGGTCGTGGCTTCCTCGGTGTACTGAACTGATTCAAACGTGTACGTTTCATGGCCATTCTGACCTTGGGGAAGAGTCAGAAGTCACGTGGTGCCAGAACTGCCGAGTACGGTGGATGGGGCCCCACTCTCCTGTTTTTAGGAGTCTGCCTTTCCACTGCGTGGCGCTGGGTAGCAGCACCCTCTGTATCTTCTGTCGCACCTTATAACACATGAAAGAGGACCTCGAGAGCTGCTGCAGAAAGTGGCAAGAATGATGAGACGTGTGTTCGATGCACGGGGGAATGTTTTGAAGAGGACTGACGGCAATGTGTATTTTAGGGTAATAATTTTTTAAATGTTCAAACATTAAGATTTCCTTTTCCTTTCAACAAGAAGTACAAGCCCACCCCGAGAGCCTTCCTTGTGAGGGGATCGTCAACTCCCCCTCTCCCCCAGACACTGGCTCTCTTGTGTCTGCAGCTACTTCAGTTTCCCACTATTCACACACAACACTTTTTATTGTGTGCTTAGTTTTGGTCCTTGTATTTCAAGTAATTAACTCACCTACATTGAACTTTATTTCAATAATTTAGAGAATTACAAAAAATTTCTCACCTGGTCTCCATGCCACTTTCATTAAAAGGGTCACTCCATAACTGAAATATCCCTTGTTTACTATTCTAATAACAGAAAAACCACGGACAATGTTTTAGGAGCTGTGTGAATGTTTTCAAGAAAGCAATGCTTTGCATACGATGAAGAGGATCTCGCCTGTGCTGCCCTGGGAGCACGCGCTGACACACTCAGTCCTAGCTGCACCACCGGGATCTCCAAACGGTTCTATAACGCAGCAGAAGACTTTGAAATACATCCGTGTGCCCCCCTCACGTTCTAAGAATGTACAGTTCTTGTCCTAACCAAGGATACATAGCAAAGTCCAGTGCACTCTCCTTAGGCATGTAGAAATAATTTTTAATGATTTCAGCAGAAATTAGCAAATTCTATTATGAATAACAACTAAACATTTAACTAATGAACCTTAGCTAGATATCATTAATATTACCTTTACTTTATAGTGTTTAATATTTTGATCAAAAATGGTATGTGAAAACATTAAATTTATACTACTTCAAAACAGGATAGTGACCATTTCACCTGCTTCAGGACATCTTAAAGGCTGAGGCTACTTCCCCAAGCAAGAAAACACTGTATTTACTACAATGTCACTTTTCAATTATACTATTGTTACATGGAAAAATAATGTAGCAAAATATTAATGACCAATTTGCAGCCTTGTGAAATAGTTAAGGCTTTGACTTGATGAACTCTACAGAAATACAATTTTGAGTTTGCAGGAGAAAAAATTTAAAGAACATGTATATAATTTTTAAACAGGTTCTGGTGACTTATTTAAAGCACAATATCATTACCTTTTCAATTTTGCCTGAAAGGATGTGAATAAAAATGATGATTAATAGTTACACAAAGCAGCTGTTATTTAAAACAATCACCTTTAGTATGAGTCGTTGGTCCAGTAGAAGTATACTTATCCAGGGCTTCTTATCACCTGCAGTGCTATTCCTTCCGGGAGGGAGGTTTTTACTCTCAGGAGCAGGTACTTCTGAATCCAAATTCCAGTGAGATAAATTCTAAAACAATATTGTTTTAGGATAAACTTAACATGAAAAAAATTTAAAAGCTGAAATACACAATTTTACATGTTCTTTGGGTAAAGTAAGACAAAATGCACAAAATTTAACGAACCCGTTGCCGTCCTGCAGGGACATAATCAGCACTTGGAGGAACCTGCAGTTTCCTTGTAACAAACCATCACCAGCACGGTAACACCTGTCCTTCAGGAACTGGACAGGCTTTCACAGTAACATCTTTCCATTCTTGTTTTGTTAAAAGTAATGACGCACAGGCTTCTAAAGCTGATTTTAACATATAACAGAATGTCCTGTTCAGTGTGTCTCTGGCACACAGAGGCACAGTACCCAGGTTTTCTGTCTCAGAGGACCAGATCTAAAACCCTACAAAATCTTTCCAACAACCAAGGAAACCTCAAATCCTTGCATTATATTCAGCTCTAACCAGCCTACTACTACTCATCCTGGATAGCAGATGCTGAGAAATGCTCAGGAAATAGTCAAAAAGAAGCTTAAAACAAAAGGAAAGGGAGAGGTACTAATAAATACTGAGCATTTCTGCTCCGTGCTATGGGGTATGTGCAGGGGATGCTCGTAATACTTTATTCTGGAAGAGAAAGTGTTAAGGTGATTCGTTTGGAAGATAGTAATTTTTTAGGAACGAACTTGGTTATTTTCTATCTCAAATGAGAACATAGCTTCGTAAATGAATCTCTAAGAAAGTGCAGTGATAGGTATTATTGAGCAGTGTCTCCACACTAAGGCGGAATGGGGAGAAATAGGCTTCTCTACGACATGAGGATTTAATTTATCCATGAAGAGGAATGATGTTTGAATGCAGGAAAGGAGGCTGCCGATTATCTTCCTCTGAAGGTTTTTGATAAATCAAATGCCTGATTTTCTGCTCTCTGGGATAATATATATGAGGCCTAATCTCCACATAAGAATCACTCAGAGAGCTTTTAAAAAACAACAGTTGAGAGTGAGGCTCCGAGGTAGAAAGCTTCCTTAGCATCTGGGGCCCTCTGCTCCCAGCACTTATGGAAAAAATAGTAGGAAAACCCTTCAGGTTCTGATTTCAGTAGGAGAAGGATGAACCCTAGATGTTTGTATTTTTTTTCCCTTAAATTCTTAATTGGTCCATTTTAGGTATACAATACGTTTACATTCATCATTGGGTGCTTGTACCTGGACCTGATGTATCCTGGTTCCTATTTTTTTCTGCAATACCTGTGCGCCCTTCACCCCCTCCACCCTTCCCTATATACAGAGACTTTGTTTCCATTTTTTTCTTTTCTCATAATTTTTCCTTTCCCTCCTTTCCTTTCCCCTTCCCCTCCCTTCACCCCTACCCCTTTGGACCTTTTCTTCCTATTTCAAATTATCAATTATTTGTTTTAATCATTTTAGTCCTTATTTACACTTGCAGTTTCTCACACTAGAGAAGCTATTCAGTATTTACACATGTGTGTCCTGTTTATTTCACTTGTGAGCATGGCCTCAATATGCATCCATTTAGCTATAAATGTCTCTAATTTCTCATTCTTTATGGCTGAGTAGTACTCCATTTTAAAAAAAACCCCACATCATCTTTATCCAGTTTCCAGTTGATGAGCAGTTGGGCTGTTTCCAAGCTTTAGCTATTACAAACTGTGCTGCTGTAACATGGGTGCACATATATTGCTGTGGTATGATTCTTTTAATTCTTTTGGGAAGATCCCCAGCAGGGGAATAGCTGGGTCAAAGCTACTGTGATAAAAACAGCATGGTACTGGCAAAGAAACAGACCCGAGGATCAGTGGAATAGATTAGAAGATGCAGAAACAACGCCAGACACACTCAGCCATCTCATCTTCGATAAAGGAGCCAAACACCCTCGCTGGAGGAAAGATAGCCTATTTAATAAATGGTGCTGGAAAAACTGGATTTCAATCTGCCAAAGATTAAAACTAGACCCATATCTATCACCATGCACTAAACTAAGATCAAAGTGGATTAAAGATCTAAATATTGAGACAGAAACATTAAACTTGCTGGAAGATAAGTTAGGTAGAACTCTTGAAGACATTGGCATAGGAAAAGACTTCATGAACAAAACCTCAGCAGCATGGGAACTAGCAGAAAGAATCAACAACTGGGATCTCATCTTATTAAAAATCTTCTGCACTGCAAGAGAAACCACCAACAGAGCTAAAAGACAACCTACAATGTGGGAAAAAATGTTTAGCAGCTGTCCCTCAGACAAAGGACTACTATCTAGAATATATAAAGAATTGAAAAAAATTAGACCCCCCAAATTCAAAGACCCAATTCAAAAATGGGCATCTGAAATGAACAGATATTTCTCAGACAAAGAAGTAAAAGCAGCAAATAAACATATGAAAAAATGTTCAACATCGCTGGTCATTCAAGAGGTGCAGATGAAAACAACACTGAGATTCCACCTCACCCCATAAAGAATGGCTGCTATCAAGAAATCAACCAATAACAAATGCTGGTGGGGCTGTGGGGAAAGAGGAACCCTGCTCCACTGCTGGTGGGAGTGCAGACTGGTGCAACCACTGTGGAAATCAGTATGGAGATACCTCAGAGAACTAGCACTAGATATTTGTATTTTAAAAACCTCCCCATGGATGTGAAGCTTCTTTCAGTCTTGTGATCCTGGGACACTAGTGTGAGAAATGCACTTGTGAGAGAAATACCTTTCTATTAAACCAGGAAAGGGAAGATGATAAGACTATTTACACAAGGAAGGCCACACAAACACACGTGTGGACTGGTATGGAGGGTCAGCCAAAGAGGAAGTTGGCTAGTTTGCAAATTTCCCAAGGGTTAGGAATTATCTTTTTTTGGCCTGTCATCTACCTTATCAAAATTTTTCACAACATACATTTAAGGAAATAAAAAAGGTGGGCATTTCCTGGTTAGCTAGTGTCTTTCACAAAATTCAGTTGCAGTTAGCAATGTTTTGAGATTTGGAAGGAAGCCAACTAACTCCTTTTGTTAAAAGAAATGCAAATTTTCCATTTGCTCACCCAGATGTGGCAAGGAGAAAACTCAATGCACGCTGCTCAGGACAGGGCAGTGGGACACAGCGGCCGGCCAGGGGCTGCAGCGGGCCACTCGGGTCGCGGGAAGCCTGCCTACCTCCTGAGACGCGCGGGCTCTCCTCCCCATCCTGCCGCAGCTGCTCCTCTGAGTCCCTGAGGCCCTGTAAGGATATGAGGGTGAGTGCGGTGCGACACTGGTACAGAAGCAGGCAGGAGGGCCGGCTCCAGAGCTCGGTGGGATCGCACTGGCTCGGGGCAGCATTGCCAGCAAGCAGGGCTGGCCTCAGGCACAAGGCCAAGCGCGCCAGCGACCCAGCCCGGCCCCTGGGTCAGGCAGTGTTGTCCACACCAACCCAACCTGGTGTCCACAAGCCCCGCCACTGTCCAAGGTAAAAAATATTGGAGAACTGTAAGATTTTTAAACCAAGCAACCATGGGACTAAGGTATAGCTGTCCAAAAAGACTCACAAATGAAAGCCACTGAAGCATCAGGATGTTTGCTAACCATTTGCAATCGTTTTATGGTCTCCTTGAGGGAAAGGCATATTTTGAAGAAATGGGAAGTACAGACATGGTTCAGGGAGTTTGTGAACCAAGACGTATTCACAGAAGGATTGAAAAATGCAAGAGGAAGCCGGGCGGGCACACAGGCTCATGCCTGTGATCCCAGCACTCTGAGGGGCTGAAGCAGGAGGGTCTCACATTCATGGCCAGCCTGGGCAAGTTAGTGACTTAGGGTGAACTTGTTGCCAGTTTCTCTGTAAAAACTGCAGGAGGAGAGAGGCTGCTGAGTAGGCGCTCTGCCGTGCCACCACTGCTTCCAGGGCTCTGTCCCGAAACAGCCACCGCACCTGGAGGGCCCTGCAGACAGGCCACCGTGGGCGCGTTAAGGGTGTCAGGGGCAGGGGTCTGGGGGGCGCGTGGCCTGCCCCCCCCCAGGCGGAGGCTCGGCTCCGTGGGGGCCCCGGCCTGGGGCAGCCTGTGGTGGCCTCGCTTACCCTGGGCGCCCGCCCACGTGTCCTCCCGGGTCCTCTCTGAAGGTGCAGCCACCCCAGCCCCTGCCAGCGGGGTAGGGAACTGACGGGCAGCGGCCGGGCAGCCAGGCCGGGCTGCAGATCCACGCACTCCCCCACCCCCTCCCAGTCGCCTGGCAACGCCTCCTGGTCGCCCGGCAACGTCCCCTCTGTTGCCCGGCAACGCCCTAGGTCCCAGTACTCCATCCCTGTAGGCTGGAGTTCTAGCTCTGCCTGTAACTCTGAGGGCGTTAAAGAACGGAGGGGAAGAGGCAGGCCCTGCTGAGAGCAAGCCGCCTCGGCCCGTTCAGATCAGTCATCATTAAAAGAAGAAAAAGTGGATTTTTTTTTCTGGCTGGCATACATTTAGATTGTGAGAGCGCAATTTTGTACAGCCAGATGCATCTCTTCCTATAGCTCCATGAGATAAGTGGGGGTGAAAACTACACACATTCCCTTTCCCGTGACAATGTGATACAAAGAACAAATCTGAGTAAACCAAAGCTAATCGTATGAATAAGTACATGACTCCGGGAAGGACGCCTCAGCACCACAGAATAAATAAATAATAAATAAAGTGCTGTCACTTCTTCACGATAAAGGAGCAGCATTTGAAGAGAAACCTGCTGCCCCTCACTAACGAAATCACTGTGTCCTGACAGGTTGAATACCAGGTCTCTAGATTCAAACCTCAAAATACTTCCAAAGTCTCAGCCCCTTTGAGAGTCTTCTCAGAAAAATGCACATACAGGTATTGAGGGCACGGCAAAGGCTTCTCGGGTCTTTGGTCACCACCCAACCCCAAGCCCACACGTGTCTCCTCCCTCTCCATTTCCGTTTTCTCCTCAGACGATTTAGAGACGTCCGTCCTCCCCCTCCTGACTATTTCATCCCGTCCTCGACTCTGTGCTCCTCAAATCTTGTTACCTGTTCGCCTTTTCAATGTCCATCTCTCCCCTGTAGAGTATGAAACTCTGAGGGCGGGGCTGTGCCTGTGAGCCTCATTAAGTTCTCCCCACACTGCAACACAGGCCGAGCCCAGAGCAGAGCAGAAGCAGTCACTGAAGAAGGAATAAGGTTGGCATTTCTGGCTACCTCCTTGGCGTTCCCCTGCTGCATAGCAAACAGTCTGATATTTCACAGTTTTCCCAAATGCTCTCTCTCCTTCAGGACAGACATCAGTGTTGCTTTCCCTATAAGAAAGCTTTTTAAAAATCACCTCCTTTAAAAAAAAATCTTCCCTGTTAAATTCCAGTCATATAGTTCTAGCTTATAAGTAATTTTTCCTGTCTGCTCAGGTAGATTACTATCTCCTCCAAGGTCCCTACTTTAGGTTATAATGATTTGCTTACAATTCCCTGTTTATCTTACATTATGCTTATTCACGTACAGTATCTCTCCATGTTTTTCACCACCACAAAGGTGTGTCCTGCCCTTTTTCTGTCTAGCAGAATGCCTGGCATATAGTAGGTGCTCATTTTTATCTTTTATTTTGCTCTTTATTTACAATTTGAATTTCTCACATAAGAGAAACCATGTGGTATTTAAGCTTCTGTGTCTGATTTATTTCACTAAAGATTATGGTCTCAAACCGCATCTATTTTCCTACAAATGACTCAAGTTTATGGGAGAATAATACTCCATTGTGTGTAAATACCACATTTTCTTTATCCACTCATCTGTTGATGGGCATACAGGCTGCTTCCAAGACTGAGCTGTTATGAGTTGCGCTACTGTAAACATGGATGTGCAGGGACCACTGTAATGCGCTGTCTTCAGCCTTCCTTTCCTATCATCATCCCCATGTGACTGCTCCTCCTTTCTCTGGAGACTTCTGCATGCTTGACAGTGGCACAGAAATCCTGGCTGTCCTGTTCCATCATCACAAACTGTGTGAGTCCATGGTAGTGTCACAGACAGGGGAGAGAACTAGGGGAATGGTTCCAGCCTTGGGAGTCAGACACTGAGATTCTTCCCATTTAGCTCATGTCCAGCTTTGGCACTAATGCTTGGCCCAAGAGAACGCACCTCCTTCAAGGCCATGCCCAGGCTTTAGGTCTTAGTGGCAGCCACCAGTGTTTCTTAACTTAGAGCTGCACCAGTTTAGCTAACCTACAGCAAAGCCATTCTTTCAAAAAGGAAGAAGAAGACAGAAGACCCTCTCGGCCTCATGGCATTTAGCAGGATCTATTAAGTACACTGGTGGCAGTCAGTGTGAGTCAGAGGAAAAGAAGGCAAGCAAGCTATGGTCACTTGCTAGGTCTGGTCAGTTTGCCTTTCTACCACCTCCGGCTCCCCTCCTATGGCAAAGGCAACAGTAGTGCTCACCAGGTAACTACTGTGCACAGCACCTTGAGGCAGAGCCTTTTCATTGCCCTGGATTATGTAAAGAAACAAAATGGCACCACTGCTCGGTCCTTGGTTATTCTGCAGGGAGATGCTCCTGTTCAGCTGGGCTCCTTCAGTGCCCTTCATGGGTCAATGCTGCCCACGCAGTGCACCCATCCGCCTTGCTTTTCCCCCTAGAATCACCGAGACTGCGGCTGTCCACAAACTACAACACAAATCTGTTCAGTGTAATTATGTAAACATTTTCAGAAGGTCAGAATAATATTTTCTAAAATAACAATATGCAGATTTTTGTTCTCACATAAAATGCTTAACCAGTGGGAAACATTTCAAATCAATTTATGCTTAACATATGGTTTAAATTACTAATTCTTTTTAATTTTTAGTTTTATTCCTAGCAATTTCTGTGTATTTCAGTAGTAACCAAGTCTATTTACTGCAATTCCGGACTCTGCATTCATCTTTTTGTTTTTTTTGGTGCCGGGGATTGAACTCGGGTCCTTGCACTTGCGAGGCAGGTGGCGGAACCACTGAGCTAAATCCCCGGCCCTCCTTTCATCTTAAATATCCTAACTTGTGTTTGCATAATTCTTTTTAAAGAAATGTACAGATAGTATTTCTACTTTGAAGGTTTTATCCTGCCTTTCTACTTTAAAATTTTGTTTTAAAAATTAAACTTAAATGTTTTGCTCTCTTAACCATTTTATTTGAAAGGCTACCATTTTGTTGCAAATATATAAAAATCTTGCTTAAAATCTACTTATTCCTAGAATAAATGTATAGTGATATATATGAACATATTTCCAAAAGGAAGTAAGATAAACACACACACCAGTCAACTGTGCTACTGGATGTGTTGCCACTAGGCCTTTTGAATAAACTCTCAGTCGTACCTTTTCTTTCTGACTTTCCCACAAGACTCGATTTTCTGGGTTTGCATTGCTTCAGATGCCCACACTCTGTGTCTGGGTCTCTTTAGCCTGATATGTGCTGTAAGTTTTAGTGTCAGAACTTACTTTCTGGGGCCAGGAAAGATGTGGCCGGGATCCTCTCTCTGCTCCTCAGGACCTTCCTGCCTCATCCGTGGCGATCAGAGCACTTTCTTGAGAACGCTTCCTTTGAGAAACCGGGAGATGATCTTGTCTCTCCGAATGTTACTGAACACTCTGCCTTCCGGAAGCCAGCTGACCTTGTGGTTGGCACTGTGGCCAGGGGTGAGGGTGAGGAGCTCAGGAGACACAAGAGCCTTCTGGGGGGGTGGAGGGAGGGAGGGAGGAATTGCCATTTAGTTATGCATAAGAGATCAGGCTAACTGGAAAAACAACGCACAACTGCTGCGCTGTGGGATCAGTTTAGTTAGTAAGGGTCTGCAGCCCCGGGAGCCTGGGGAGTCACCCAGCCACCAGGACAGTGCCCTGGCCTAGGCATAGCTGCTCCCATCTGTTCTTGGGAAAAAATAACAGATTAAAAACACGGTATTGACAAAGGTAAATATATTGGCCATGGAAGACTAGAACTGGAAATGAGAGGAATACATGGCACGACACAACATGGAAGCATTTGTTCAAAATGGTCTTTATTTTCATTTATCCAGAGCTATATAGCTGTTTTATGATGCCTCCATCTGGGTAGGTCTAGTCTCCATGATTAGACATTTCTTGAAGATGCGAATCATACAGGCTACAAATCCAATAAATATTAAGAAATACACAGCCCTGAAAGGTGGTGGTGTTAGACACTCCCAATGTCTTGCAATTTTTGCAGCCAGTGAAGTTGACTAAAACTGGGGATGGACTTCTTGATTTGAAGGACAAAAAATTAAGGAAGTTTTGTCATGGGCAGGCTTCTGCGACCTTGATGTGTTGCCACTGTAATGATGCCTCCAGCTGGGGCCAGGTTATGTGCTTCAGGAAAAGGTCCTGACGGCCAGGGGTAGAGGAGGCCTCTTGGGGCGCAGCCAACACTACGTGCTCCACAGTTCTGCTTCCTGAGGTAGCTCAGAGTGCAGATGCCGCTGGCTCCTTCGGGTGCTCTGAGAGGGCCCTGTCATCTAGCCGGGACTGCCCTCCCCATCCTTGCCAGTCACTGAAGTGAGTCCTGCTGGACTCAAACTGGGTTTTAAAAATAAAATTTGTTTTAAACTGGTATATACAAGAATGTACATATTAATGGGGCGGCAAGTGAGGCTTCAATACACCGTGTACATTATTAATGCATGAATCAAGTTAAACTTAATCTATCCCCTCTCTTCCGGGGTCTCTGTTTCCATTTGTAGATTCACTTCAATTTCTTTGTCTTAGGATCCCAACTTGTAAAAGCAACAGTACCTACCTCATTTGCCATTTCTGGCAGCATATTTTGTGGGGTAAAAATATAGTTATGGGCATTAACCTAGAAATAGCAAGTGTTCAATAAACTTGCATGGTTAATTCCATTCATACATTTCCTGTAAGATGGACTATTTTGATTACGATTACCAGAATAAAGTAAGAACTAAAATGCTAAGAGTTTGATGAGTTACTTGGAAGCTCATTCTTGAAGGTGAAATCAGAAAACAGCAGCATTTTGCCAGCAGTGGTGGTGCAGGCCTGTAGTCCAAGCACTCTGCAAGCCTGAAGCAGGAGGATCACAAATTCACACCCGGCCTCAGCAATTTAGCAAGATCCAGTCTCAAAATTTAAAAAATAAAGGGTGGGGATGTAGTCTGATGTGAAGGCCCTCAGTTCAATACCCAACACTATTAAAAAAGAAAAAAGGAACACTATTTAGAAAAGCAAAATATTCCACACCACCTTCATAGCCCTTGGAATTGCATCCTGGTTCTTGTCAAGTGACACCTACGGGAATAATCAGAACAGGAAGTCACAGACAGAAAAGGCAGCATGCAGTTATGCCTCTTGGAAAATACCCCATCATACGACAACGAGGTCTTTCTGTAACGAGGCACATGGCTTTCCAATGAAATGACCCTTTTTCCTTTCACATTTATTAAAATTGTGAAAAAAGAAAAATTAACATTGCTTCCTAGTAATGTGTTGCTTCCATTTGCTCCTTTGCCAGATGGCTCACGAAGAACCTCCAACCCCCTGAGGATCTCAAGTCGGTGACGGATCAGCTGTCAGTGTTCGGCCCGATGCAGTCGGTCAGCGCTTGTGGATGCCACAGTGCCCTCGTGGGGTTCAGTGACATCAACTCGGCTTGCAAAGCTGTGAGCGCTTTTCATAGCAACATCCCTGGCACCGGGCTCCAGTGCTCCTGGCAACATCGATTCATGGCAAAGGATGTGAGATTTTCTTTCACCAAAAAGCTATGCGAATTCTTTCAGAAATGTTTGTATCCATGAGGACTGTAAGTGCGATAGAATACAATTGGTGTGGGAGCGTTGAAAAGGCACAGTGAGGTTGACCGTGCTAAGGGCTGGAGCCCAGAGTTAGCAGGACCGGCCACTCGGGCTGCCACTTCCTCACAGCCTTGCCTTTCTGGAGAGGAAGCTCTGCACGGCCGCAGCACACTCCTCCGACAGCCACCTTTCCCGCCCCACTCTGCACTCTTCAGCGTTGACAGCATGCAGCTTTTCCTTCTCACTGCTTCTGAGTAACTGCTTTCCAATTCTCATTGCCTGGCAAGACACAACCAACAACAGGGTGATTCTACAGCAGCATGGTTCCTCACATTCTGACTCGTTTCTCCAATGCTCACAGAACTTAACCTGCTAATTCTTTGAGATCTCTTCTTTATTTTTTCCCCCCCAGTACCAGGGATTGAACTCAGGACCTTGCACTTGCCAGGCAGGCACAAGCCCCAGTCCAAACCCATTAATTCTTAAGATGTATGTGATTTAAGAGGGCTTCTTGGCCGCTGATGTACATACGAATCACCTCAGAATAGGCAGGGCAGACCTGTGACTACATACCTCTAAAATCCCAGGTGACCCCCAGGCTTCTGGCTCCAGGACCGTGTTTTGAATACTAAGGATATGTGCCTAAGAGCAACCAGCCTCTAATGACCACATATAAAACAAAAGTGCTACCCAGACAGACTCTCACGCACAGCCAACCCGTGGAGCTTTTCAGCTGATTTCAAAGCACAAACACTTGGCAAACACTGCCAATTGTCCTCTACAAGTTACCCCCATAAAGCACTGCCCTCTGCCTTGCTAGGATAGACACAAATGTCCATTTGATAAGTTTTATAAGTATTATAAAAAGTATTATATTATCAGTATTCCCAATGTTATCATGGTTATTTTCTTTATTTTTATTTTTTTTGGTACCAGGGATCAAACTCGGGTCCTTGCGCTTGTGCAGCAGGCGGTGAAACCACTGAGCTAAATCCCCAGCCACTATAATGGTTCTTTTTAATCTCATATTTAGATGTGCTAGAATATATCTTTTTGAGACAGGGTCTCACTATGTAGTTTGGGCTGGTCTTGAACTCACGCGGTGATCCTCCTGCCTCTCAGCCCCCCCAGTGCTGGGATTATGGGTGCGCACCACCATGTCCAGCTTGTCTTGTCTCTTTTTATGACTTATTCTCCTAAGGCGAATACACTTGCCCCGTAGGAAATTATTTCCACAGGAAAAGGTCAACACTCTACTAACATTTGGAGAGTTCTTGGCATATTCTCTCAACCTGGTCCAAACCTCTCTCTGGAAAGTGCGGTCGGGAAAAACTTCAGTAACAAGGCCTTGAGCACAGGCCTCTCTTGCTGTTATCTTCTTCCCAAAGATAAGCATCTCAGCTGCCTGAAAAGAAAAAGCAGGGTTAAGGCATTAACTGCACAAAAGAAAGCTTCTGTTAATTCCAGAGTTGACTGCTTTCTGGAGACAGAGAGATCTGCTTGGAGTCTTTGAGGTTGCTTGTATTTCATTCTAAGGAGCAGCTGATGAGCTCAATGAACTGTTTTCAAACTGCTGAGCCCATCCCAGGCTCCAGCATCTTGGAAGGGCTGGAAGGGCAGCTGCTTCTGTCAGGTCTATGTTGGCAAAGCAAGAACGGGAAGCCTGGGGAGGAGACAGGACTGGCACCCACCGCAGCCGTGGTTTTAAGTATGTAACTGACAGGAGGGAAAGGGGGACACACGGGGGTGAGGGCTAGGGCTAAGATGCGCAGCATTTTCAGTCTCTGGCTCACCACGAAGGACCTGCACTTAGGCGACTCATGCCTCTCAGCCATGGGCCTTGCTTCTCGCAGTGCAGGGAGCACCAGACACCCAGCAGAAGGAGCCGCACTGTGGTGTGGGGACTCAGAATTTCCAATTTTCCCACAGACCAGACACTTCCCGTGGCCCAGTTTCTCCGTACATAAAACTCTTAGTGTGGAGACCAAATAGCTTCTCTTTTCGTCCATCTTAGCAGGACAAGGAAGAGAGGGCATGGGGGTGCATTTCAACGAGAGATGAGGTGTTCATTTTACTTTTTCAGCTTCCAGTCAGTTACCTTGGCTGGGCCCATTATCTTCGGGAAAGTGTAAGAGGAGCATCCTTCTGGGGTTTGGCCGAGACTAGTAAATGGAGTGTGAAGCGTTGCCTGTTTGGGGTGGGAAAGAAAAGAAAGCCAATTTCAGTGTGTGGTTTGTGAAAATCACCATCTGATGGTAACTCCACAACACTTAATGGAGATTATGTGGTGTAACATGCGTACAAAGCTCCCCCTTTAAAGTGTGCACTCACTGAGTTCTGACAGCTGTGCTTATGCAGCCGCTGCCAGCACCCGGAGAGCATTCCCATCACTCCAGGCCGCTCCCCTCTTACGGTCTGTGCTAACCCTCCCTCCCACCGTCCCTGTGCTATCAGCTGTCGACTCGTCACCCCTGTAGTCCACCTGTTCTAGAATGTTCTACAAGTGGAACCCTACGTTCTCTAGCCCTCGGGGTTTTTGAGCCTGGCCTCAAACTTGTGGTCTTCCTGTCTCAGCCTTCTGAGTGCTGAGATTACAGGTGTGCAACCCGTTATGGTTTAGATCTCAGATGTCCCCCTCAATGTCTCAGGTGCTCAGAAATGACGCTCCGGAAAGGTGACTGGGTCATGGGGGTGCTAGTCAGCGGCCTGGCCACCGGCGAGTTCAAGCCGAACGTGCTGTGGAGAGCTGGAGCCCGGCCTGAGGGGGTGGCCGTTCCACAGTGGCCGGAGGGTGCGCCCCTGTCCCCAGCTCCTCCCCGTCTCCTGGCTGCCATGGGTGGGCAGCTTTCCTCTGCCATGCCTCCTACCCTCCCACTTCTGCCTTACAGTTGGCCAACCACGGCCTGAACCTCTGAAACCATGAGCCAAAATAAAGCTCTCCTCTTTTAAACTGTGGGAATCAGGTATTTTGTCCCAGTATCAGGACAGTGACTAATACAATCACCATGCCCGGCTTCTTACATGGTTTTAAGATCTACTATACTTTCTTTTCTGTAGGCTATGTATTCTTCTCCACTGCTCACCTCCATATTAGGTTGTGAATCTATTGCTCTGTAGCTATGCTTTAAAATATTTTAGGGAGATTCACCTATGTTCTATGAGTTGAAAAACTGTTTCCTCAATCTTTTGGCTTGATTTTGCTCTAAAGACATTTTGACTGGCTTGAGATACTAGAATCAATTTTGATACTGGTTATTTAGGCTATAATAATTTCCCATTTGGTTTAAGATATATTTTTGTGTGTTTTGATGAATGATAAATTCTTATGAAAGACAATTACCACTAATAATACATAAAACACTATTCAGATTTCATTTACTATAGACATTGTGTTATTGCTATTTGTTTTGTTTTTTTTTGTTTTTTTTGGTACTGCGGATCGAACTTGGGACCTTGTGCTTGTGAGGCAGGCAGCAGAACCACTGAGCTAAATCCCCAGCCCAAAAACTGCTATTTGTTAAAAGGTAGAAATATATAATGTATGCAGCATGTAAATAAAAATACAAAATAAAATGTTCCCATTAATGTTATATTTTTCCCCCCAAAGAGAGCTTATTCAGGAAAATATGGTGAGAAGACAAAGCCTAAGGAATATAACCAGAAAATGAAGAAGGAATGTCAACCATAGTCGGAGGCCTCAGACAGGTATATACACAAAGATGACAAGGAGCAGAACGTAACATATTTACTTTCAGGAACCGAGCAGTGAGTGGGTTCAGGCCCTGGCTTCAGTCCTTCGGGACTTGGGGAGAGTGTCTTACCCTCATCTGTGAAATGGGTCTGAGTACCTATCTCGTAGGGCTGTTGCGTGCATTACGAGAATATGTGTGTGTGTGTGACATGTATTAGCAGGACCTAGTGTACAGTAATCATGAGAGTATATATGTTTATATTTCCTACCTTGTAAAGACTCATGGAGAAAAGTACCATTCGGGACAGGAAGCTAACAATGCCTATTGTTAGCCACAGCTCATAACAAAGGATGGGTAGAATGCACTAGTGTTTTCATTATGTGGATTAAATATGAACCTATGATTTAATATGGTATTTATTTGTGAAATCAATAGTGATAAGTCCTAGGAATCTCTTCAATGTTAAACAAACAAACAAACAAACAAACGTTTCTCAGAGGGTTGAAGATTAACAAATTTTACCACTACCTGAACAAAAGTCACCTGGAGAATCCAACAACCCCAGAGGTGGTTGTTAGGTCTGTGGCAAATGTTCTAAGGGCAAAACTCTAAGACAAATGTTTGTTCATCATGACTTTGCTTCTAGTTGACAAAAACTGCAAATAGCTTTGTGTTCCAGCAGTCAGCACTGGCTAAGTTAGAGCAGCTCTATACACCAAACACTAGTGTAATGGTTGTCCCTGAGTGCTGAAATAAGGAGTAATTTTACAAAGATACATTTTACTCTGTACATCTAAAGTATACAACATAAGATATAATAAAACAGTTGACATCGTGGAGGATTGAACGTATCTATCATCTCGCGTAGTTACCATCAGACCCCTACAAGCACTGCTAAAAACCCTGAACCCCACACAGTGGTAACTTCAGTCTTCATACTGTACACTGGGTCCTTCAAACTCACATACTACTACTTTGTACCACCTAACCCACCTCTGCCTGTACCCTGTCCCTCACCATGGAGTGATTTTGGGGATGGTGGTGCTGGAGTCAGAACCCAGACCTTGCACATGCGGGAAGCCCCCTAACACTGAGCTGCAGCCTACCATGCAGCAATCTTTAAATTTTTTTTCTTTGTAGTCTTCCATATTTTTCAAAATTTTATTTTCTGCTATGCCAAGAGACATACTGCCGTAAGAATAAAAATCAACATAATCCAGTGGTGAGCATATGGCTGCAACTGTGTTGTGGGCAAGGAATTTCTCAGAGCTTCAGTTTTCTTATCTGCAAAGGAGGCAGTGGGGGTGATGATCATAGCCCCTTATTCTCGACTGAGGAAGAAATGATCAAATAATCCACTTACATAACCTGCAAAGACGCGATCTCCTCTCCCATAAAAAGCTTTCGAGTGTCTCTTGAGTGTTTTTGAATACTGTAAAAACTGAAAACTGAGCAACTATCCTTGATTAGAATATACAATGATCAGAGCTAGGACAGGATCCACAGTCTTGGTGTACAGGAAAATTCTAGTTAACAATGAAAGGAAAAATAAAGTCTGTCAAATTGGGCTAATTCTTTGAGAAAACTCTAACTAGAGTCCATTTCACAACAAACCACATGTAGTCCATTTACTCCTAGCAACAGTAAGGGAGAATCCATTTGCACTCTGTTTGCCTGGTCTCTTCCGGTTCTGGGAGCGAGCTTACCCTGTCAGACGCATACACAGTGTCAAACAGCCCAAGGAGGGTGACAGAGATCCCCACGGCTGGACCATTCACTGCCGCAACCAGAGGCTTAGGGAAATCTATGAAAGTGTCTACAACATTCCTACAGAAAAGGAAACAGAAATCCATTACCTGTCCCAAGCTGTGTCCCTGATGTGCAAGGCGGTCAGGACGGACCCGAGGAGTCCTGGCCGCCTTCAACCCAGTCCATCCGCGACACCCGCTGAACGGCCCTGGTTGGAAGGCCATGCCCTGAGTCCTACAGGGCAAGGTTTGTACCCTGCCTTCTGGGAAGTGAGTTCAGGGCTGCCCGCCGGCCGCGGCCTCAAAGACTGGGGTGGGTGACAGAGCCCTCACAGTACAGGGGGATTGAGAGACTTGGTGGGGTCACCAAGCTCACCAGAGCAGACCCTTCCCGATGTCCTTCTGGGTTTTTCAAGACTACTTCAATTTCCTATGACCCCATTCACTGAGGTCATCTGTTCTCCTGACTGGAAGAGAATTTTCGAATTTCCTCTGTCTCAACAGATTTTATTGACACCTCTGGTTCACCTATGCCTGCTACACGATCTCACGGAGGGTGGCAGGATGAACAGTAATAGAAGCTGGCGTCTTAAACGAAGGTCCCCTTACTGACGGAGTCTGGAGAAATACGGTTGGCCAAGGTCCTAAGGAACTTCATCAATGCAGAGAACAGCTATTCTACTTTTGCTCAACTAAATATGACCTGGATGCATAAGAACAAGCCCACAGGGATCTGACAAATGTCGGTCTTACCTCAGTGTATTGGCACTCTCTTCAGATATCTTCTCTAAATCACCAGAGGCAAAACTAACGAAGTTAGTCAGATCATTCCCACTGCTATAATAGTCACCGCTTCCTGTCAAAAATAAACGACCAGATCCACCACTCACTCCTCAGTTCTCGCTGATTCTGTGACTACCAAGTGTCTGCTCTGTGCCCGGCTCTATGTGGGCACCTGAAATACACAGGTGAATCAACCATGGCTCTTGGCCTAACTTACAGACCGGCAAATTAGCCAGCTAGACCCTGATTTCCTGGAGTGACCCTCCTCCTCCCCTCCCCTCCGCCCACTTCTCCCCCTTCCTCCTGTCTCCCCCCAACACCTTCTATTTTTCTCCCCAAGGCCTTGCACATACTAAGCAAGTGCTCTACCACTGAGCTATACCCCAGCACTTCATACTGATTTTAAAACATCCAATCAGTGTAGAGGATGTAACTGTGACCCAAAAGAGGGGTGCACGAAGGTATGGGTATATAACAGGGATCTGGTTTAGTCTGGAAGCTCGGGATGAACTCTGCTGAAGAAGGGACAATTGTGCTGAGAGCTGAAGGACTACAGCTGTCCGGAAAAGGAGAGGTGGGAAGAATTATCCGTGTCAGGAGAACAGCACAGACCAAGGTTCCATGGAGGGGACCCCCCCAGCGTGTTCGACTGACTGAAAGAAGAGCCATACAGCTGGTGCATAAAGCCAGGTGGTGCAGAATGAGGATGGGAAGCATTGGCCACATGGGGCTTTCTAGACCCCACCAAGAAGTTTCGCCTTCATCAGGTGTGATGGCGCACCTGCGACCCCAGCACCCATCAGACGGAACCGGAGTCCAGCCTGGGCTACACAGCAACCTACCAGCTGGCCAGGTCCTGTCTCAGCAGACAGAACAAAACAGAACTATCAAAAGAAAATGTTATATCTTTAAGAGCCAGTGAAGCCATGGGGGGGGGGTTATTAAAGGATAATTTACATGCAATGAAGCTACCAGTTCTTAAATGTTCCCTTTAATGAATTCTGATCACTGTAAACACCTGCATGATCACCATCCAGAGCAAGGGGTCCCCCTTATCCTGAGGGGTCCGACCAAGACCTTCCATAGATGCCTGAAACCTGAGAGTAGTACCCAGAGCCTCAGGATACACTGTGTTTTCTTACAGAGCTGGTACTCTATATCCTTAAGTTTTGTATTCATGGACTCAGCAAACCAAAAATATTTGGAAAAAAAAAATTGTATCTGTACTAAAGAAACTTTTTTCCTTATCACCATTTCCCAACTATGCAAGACACATCGACAGTGCAATATCCATGCAAATATCACGCCCTTTTATATAAGAGACTTGGGCGTCAGTGGGTTTCAGTCTCTGGGCGACCTGGAACGCAGAGGCAACTACTCATACACACCTTTAACAAAGTTTAATTTATACATCAGGTAAGAGCAACAATAATAAAATTTAAAAAGCTATTCAATGACAAAAGTTATTTAGAACTTTACGAACTGTTTCTTTTCTGGAATTTTCCACTGAACATTTTCTGACCAAGGTTGCCCACTTTTAACTGAAACCAAACCCCTGATAAGGGCAGCTCCTGGACAGAGCAGGTCTTCCGTCCTGGCACAACCCGAGGCTCTCTTCTAGCCATTTCCCTACCTGCCCCAAGACCGTCACTTGCAGACTTCCACAAAGTAGAACTTTTGCCCATTACAGAACTTTACACGGACTGAGTCATACGATATGGAGCCCTTGTGTTCGACTTACTTTGCTGAACCATGTCTTAAAGATTCATCCACGTTCTTGTGTGTATCAGTTAGCTGTTCCTTTTTATTGCTCAGTAGTATTCTACTGCATGAACAGCCAACAATTTCTTTCTTCATCCATTTGTCTTGTTTTCTGTTTTGGCTATTAAGAATCAAGCCACCATGACTGTTCTAGTGTAAGTCTAACTTTGGGAATTTACGCTTTACCTTGGGTAATAATCACAGAGTGGCCATTCTGTGTTTATTATACTATTGCACATTTATAAATTAAAGCATGCCATACTGGAAAAGATCTCCAAACTTTTCCACTCAATTCCCTATCTAATACGAGAATCCCCAAAATAGGAATTGAAGACATCCAAGAAAAATGTCTTACCTGTAAAAACAGTTATGGCTGAGTTATCCTTGCCTGCAGCTTTAAGTGCAAGTATAATGTCTTGATACATCTATATGAACAGGAAGAGGAAGAAAAGAAAAGAACAAGGAAAATAAGAACTGTCACCTCAGTCTGGCAAACATGTCACTTGTACTTAAATAACCAAATGGTAGCTCAAGACACCTGAAAGCACTTTTATTCCCTCTAAAGTTACTCTGCACATCACGTACCAGGTGCTTTGGTAAGAGCAGAGGAGCAGTAACTGCTTTCTTCCACAAGTGAGTGAAAAACAAATGGTCTTTGAACTTTCAGAAACAAGAGAGATTATGCTCAAATGTGGGGCTGGGGTAAAAAACATGAAGCAGCACGAGATCATGGGAGGTGCTGAGGATTTCTAGGGCAGGTGGGATAGGAGGTGGCCAAGGAAAACTTTCCAGGAAGCAATATCTAGCTCAGTCTGCCCTCAAGAAAGAAGCAGTGTCCCAGGAAGTCTGGGAAGAGTTAAGCCCAAAGGCTGGGATTTCCGAAGTGCTGTGGTGACATTCAGGGGTAGAGGCTTCCAAATGTTAAATGAGCAACACTTCTGACACTCTTGGACATGTCCTACAGCTTTTAATGCTTTTAAAATAGGCAGTTCCTACCTTGGGGTGAGATTTCCATGCAGGAAAGAACGATGAAGAGGGCTGATATGTACGGATGTAAAGAAGGAAATAAAGTAAGGAAATGAAAGTATGGACTTTACATAATATATGAATAAAGATGTAATCATTTCCATCCAGGATGTAATTCCACTGTTATTACAGTAATAACGATACAGCATGGCAAGCTGACTGGCAAGAGTCAGGATTAGCAGTGGATGTGTCAGAGTTTTGATCTAGGTTTTCAAATTTATTTGCTATGTGAGTTTGAGCCAGTTACTTCTTAACCTATTTTACTGTTAAACAATAATAACAGGGTTCTTGTAAAAATTAAACCTCTGTGCAGAAAGCACTGACATTTATTAGGCACCCTGTGAAGTGTCATAAAGAATCCACTTGTCAAAACTAGGCCTTTGAAAGCAAAGTTAATTCCAGTTATCAGCGACTAAAATCAGGAGATTTTGGCAGCTGGATGGGAAAAGCCCTTTATCACCTCTGACACTGGGAAATAGCAGCTGGCTGGGAGAGATTTCATCCGAGGGTGGCTGGACTAATACCAGCAGAGAGCTATCAGCAGCTCACTGGGAAAGGAATTAGGCTTCTGTGGTACTGAAGAGGCCAAGGAATCTGGGGTACAATGTTTATGACTCGGATGCCCAGGACGGTCTGCTCAGGTGTGTAGAAAATCACGGGCTTTCTCGGCGCCGGGGGTTGTGTACTTCCTTTGGAGTCCATCTGTCCTATTTACTGAGGAGCTGCTGCTGTTTGCGGAAAGCAGCCTGATTGCTTTGCCCTGTTTGTGAAGGACTCCCTTAAGTCAGGCCTGACACAAAGGGTAGCTATTATTGCCACAGTTATACAGAAATGGGTCAGAGCAAATAGCAACAGAGTCTAGGGAATTAAATGCTTTACGAATTGGATGGCACACATCCGACTTTACGCAATTCTGAATTAAGAATATTTCAGGTCACAGCGCTTTTTCCTCTACACTCCAGATTAGAAATGCAGCTGTCACTGTCATCTTGAACTCGACTCCCAGCTCAGCATCAGCTCTGATTATTTCCCTGCAATTCACTTCAAGGGAAGGGGCGGAAGTGCTTATGTTTTCATCATTCATTTGATGCTGCACTGTGAAGCAGCTGATTCAAAGTAGAGCTGGGTTATGTGCTATTAAAGATGAAATCCTTAGCTCCTTTTTCTCTCATGTACAAAATAAAACTATGAGAGCAGAAAAGAGTGACTGACAGCTTCTATCAATCTTAGAGGGCCTCTCTGCATATTCTCTTATTATTAACAGAGACTTCACTTATATTAACTGATTTGTTTCCTTTGTAGGAAAGTCACGGCACATTTTGGATATGCAGAACCTAGCTGAAACTCACAAATTCAGGATGGGGAATGCCTGATTGTTACACAAAGTGGCCAGGATTACTAATCATCTTGCACAAATCAAACCAGAGGTATCACAAAAATAGGAACAATGCTGAAACGGTACAGTTTTGGGAGTGAAATAGAGAAAGAAAAGAAAAACCAGAGTCACTCCCAGGACAGGTAACTACCTGAATGGTGATGGCATTTTTTTTGGCTGGTCGGTTTAACATGATCGTCGTGATGCTGTCTTCAGAGGTCATCACCACGTGTTCAGACTCAGGCAGACTCCTGCCGGCTCCAGGCCCTGCCTGGCTAGAGGATTCCAGTGAAGGAGTCAAGCTGGACACGAAATCCACATAGTTCTGCCGGGCAGCTTCCTGAGGAGCAGCCAACAAGGACCTTCAGCGATCACCACTGAATAAGCATTCTGAGAAATACACCATGTTAATAAATAGCACCTTGCAAAAAACAACAGAGGGGTTGATTCAGTCGAGGCTTCAGGATTTCAACGGCTCCACTGATAAGGGCTTGAGGAGAAACACCAAGCTCTTTAGAATTCTAGCAAGTAAATAAATAAAAGATGAGCACAGGAACAAGTAAATTGACCTTGGGCAGACTGCCAAGGGCATTCCACGCACCCCACTTGGCCTTTCTGATGATGTCCAACACCTCTGGTCTGGGAACATTACAAGGTCCTTCTGTGGCCTGTGGAGAAGAGAATTAAGATTAATGTCAAATGTCCATGTCAGACCAAGCCCTAACTATTTAAGATCCATAAAATCCAAAACTAGAACAAATGCCTTCTGGCAATTCTTTCACAGGGTACCTAGAATGATCTGAACTTTTCCCAGGTCCTCTGATGTTGCTGGAAATGCACAAACAGAAAAAGACTGGAGCGACAAAGGATGCCATAGGCTAGCAGTTGCTAAAATAAGTTATAATTGCCTTAATATAGAAATAACTCCAAAGAAAGGCTCGGAAAAGTACATTCTAAAATTCTAAGAGTTCATTAATTATCAATGATCACATTTTTCACAATCAAAATATTTAAGCAAACAGTTTTCAAAAGGAACCAGCTAACAAACATGTAGAAACCCACAGCAGATTCCAAAAGCTGACCCACGGGTAGGAAAAGCAGCACTACTCCGGGGTTGGACTGTGGTCACCCGATCACAGGACAGCAGCTGTAGCGGCAGGAGGTGGGCTGTTAGGATGTCAGGTGGCAGGAAATTTAAGGGACAAGTCCGCGAAAGCGAAAAGGACCAAACTGTCCTTGTTAGAGGGCGGGTGGAATGGATGTCTCGAGTAAAATATCTCACTGAGCCACTTTTCAGGAAAGACAATTTAAAACTCCACTGAAAAAAGTCTGCATTTTGTAGTACACAGTCAGCCAACAGAAAAAAGGAGAGGCGGCTCTAAAAAATCAAGGCAGTAAAGGAGACCGTGGTTTTCTGCCGACACTCACAGGCAAGCGCTAACAGCCCACGAGACAGGCTTCCCCCTTCTTCCAGCTGCTCCCACTCCTGCCACCAACTGAGAGCCCTAAGCTTTTCTCAGGGTCATGGTTTCTTATAGGAGGAGCACAGATTAAAATTGGCCCAGGGAGAGAACACACAGGGCAGACAGGTCAGGGAGAAGCAGAGTCGGGGACACCGCTGTTGTCCTCTTCACACGGAGTCACGACCCGGTGAGGCTCCCAGAATCGGGCTGATTCACAAGGTGACGCGGGGAGTCCTGCCCCCCACAAGCCCACGCCCGCTTCAGGGCCAAGGTTTTCCTAGGGCTCGTGCAGCCTGCATCGTTTCTGGGCAGGAGGCTCACTGCCCCCATAAATCACACCATTCCATGATCCGATCCGATCTGATTGATCGGGGCAAACCAGGTGCTATCAGCAGACAGCCAGAGTGCGAGCTCATCTCACAGAGCCTGAGGGCGAGGGCTTCCAGGCAAGGCTCAGTTCTTTACCACATACACCCGCAAGAGAGTAAGAGTGGCTCATGATATTCAGCTACCAGAAAAGTAGAGGAGTCCCGCTTGGCAGATGTGCCAGGGAAGTCTTTGGCATTACAACTTAAATGCGCTGGTTTCCAATTTTGTTATAAAAAACTTCAAACTTACATCAAAGTATAACATTATAATGAGTTCCCAATACCCAGTCACTCACACGAACAATTACCAAATTCTGCCTAACATGCTTTTCTTCTCTGTCTCATGAACTCCAATGTCATATTTCACTCCTACATACTTAGTATACAATTTTTAAACATTCTTAGTGTAAATTTCTTAAAGTTCATCCTATATAAGCGTGACACCGTTAACAATATTTCCTAATTTCTAATACTCAGCCCCCATTCATATCTTCCCAATTGCCTAGAATACTTTTTCAACTGATTTATCCTAACCAGGAGTCTAGCAATGTCTAAACATTTGAATGTGATTATCTTTTAAGTCTCTTTTACTTGAGAATGACCCTGAGGGGTTACTTTGTGCCTTCACAGTATGTCAAGGCCAATATAAAACAAAAACACAATGTGCATATATACAAATATATGCAAATATATACAAAATATTGAAGGTGCACTTTAGTAGATACATAGTATTTCATAGTAGACACATAGTATTTGCTCAAAATGTCTCTAAATAATATTAGACCTTGACATAGTTACAACATAGTTGCCACCGAAGGGACAAAGGAAAAATCACTCCTGGGCCCTTCTTCCGGTTTAGATCTAGTTGTCCCCCAAAGCCTCCTGGAAGATGAATGGGTTCCGGGGGAGCTACATCTGCCTTGGTATTGGGAGGTGGAGCTGGTGACAGCCGGGTCACTGGGCGTGGCTGGGAGGGGTCATCTCCCGCCCCATCTCCTCCCTTCCCCCGGCCCCCCCACCCCGCCAGGCCCTTCCACGGAGCGGTTTCTGCGTTGTGCTGCTGAACACGGGCTTAAACTGTGAGCTGGAATAAACCTCTCCTCTGTGCTGCAGGTGTTTGGTCTCACTCATGAGAAAGTGACTAAGCCAGCCCTTGTTACACTAAGTTTTCTTCTGAGACCATCAGGGACTTAAAACCAGTTTTTGCTAAAACCCTTGACTCTTCACTTGAGACTACTAATCCCCCACATGTAACTAAAATAGAACACAGCTTAAGCTTCATTTCCTAAATCTGATTAAACCCTTCTCAGCTTTGGCCATGATAGGCATTTGGAGAACATCTGTCTAAAAGCTTGCAGGAGAGAGTTGATTAGCGTCAGGACCGGAGAAGTGCGGCCTCACTGGCCTCCCGTGTGAGCACAAAGGAGGAAGGCTGCACTTGGGGGACCGTATAGTGCACGTTAGGGAAAGGTTAAGACAGCTGAGGTTAGGTTGTTTACCTGAGAATGTGCTAGCGGATACTGGAAAGCAGGTGATTCTTGTGTTACTCTGATTGCTCACGCCCGAGTGGGTGAATAAAAGCCAGGTGAGGCAGGGGCTCGGGTTTCTCCGCCTACTAGAGGTGAGCATCCCCGGCTGCCCGCATGCTGAGCTGACTCCGTGTCTGTCATTCTTCCTTGTTCACTCATGGCTCAGGGAGAACAGAGTAGCTGTCTAGCTCCCTGGAGCAAAGCTGGCTGGTGGGTCGCCTACAGGTGGCGCCCCCAACAGGGCCCTGAGACGGGGTCCCCCTCAGATTAGCCCTAAATTTACTACCCTAGCCCATTTCCCCTTCAAGACGGAAGACACCAAGATAAGCACAACTAAAAGGATTTCCAGGATTCAGAGGGACGTAGGATCACCAGCCTTACACATCCAGGTCATCCTGAACGGGCAATCACCTGGGTCCTGAGACCACCACCAACAGGCAATCATTTCATGGGAACAAAACGCCCCTCAAGCCACGAGAATTGCTCTGTGAGCACCAAAGTCGGGCTAAGATAATGACTGAGCAGACGCCGGGCACCTTGGCGAATCCCTAGTGGCCTTGCCTCTTTGGGGGGCAGTTGGAGCCTCCTCCTCGGTGCCTCTTGCAGCGGCTTCTGGAGCTGCAGTCCTGTCACTTTAGTTTTAATCTCTATTATCAGCAAACCAAGCACCCACTCCAGTCGCTGACAACCTTGGACTCTTACCTGCTTATACAGCGCATACAGTTTTAGCTTTGTGTCACTGTCTGGATCCTCCAAGAGTTTCATCCGATCCACTGCACTGTCAAAGTCCTCCTGACTGGCTCTCATGCCTCTTCAGCTCGTGTGCAGCCAAACCGCTGGGAAACGAATGACCTGAACGACTACAAGCAGACAGACTTCTATTTGTACAATCACTTCTATTTCTGCAGCCCAATTTTTTTTTTCAGGATGAGGATTGAACCAAGGGCCTTTGCATTGAGCTGCCTTTCCAGCCTCTTTTGTTTTTTATTTTGAGACAGAGTCTTTCCAGGTCACTTAAGTTGCCCAGGCTTGGCTTGAACCTGTAACTCCTGCCTCAGCCTCCCGGAGTGCAGTGCTGGGATTACAGGCATGTGTCACCACACCTGCCTTGCAGCCTGAATTTTAACTATTCTCCATCCTTACCAAACTGTCACATTTATCTGTAAATATTATCTCCATACTGTCCCAGCAAGCCAGCTGTGAACAGCACTACAGAGTCCTAGCTAAATCAAGACTGTAGCTAACTGTAATAATTTTTAAATAATGGAAAAGTTATAATCGAGGGAGGCATTTGCAAGCAATTCAAATGAAAGATAAAAGCCAGCATGGACATTTTCGCTATGGAAATTCTGTCAGAGAGCAAATAAAGGGCCTGCAAGATGGAAGGGATGGAAGCGCACAGAATTTGGTCACGAGTTCCACGTCCTGACGCAGCCTCGCGCTCAGCTTCACCAGGCGCAACTACCGGAGGGCGATTCTTGCCTCTCTGCGGGGGAAAACGGGACCCGGCGCACACAGGAGGAAGGAGGGCGGATGGAGACGCAGAAACGTGTGGGACAGGGGCAGTGGCCGGGCCCAGGCACTGGGGGAGGTGGGGAGAATCGCGGCGCGCGCAGCCTCCTCACCCGGGGCGGAGGGCAGCAGCGGCCCGGGGCCCTGCAGGGGGCGGGTGGAGGCGACGAGGGTGCGCGAGAGCCAGCGAACAGGACGCCCCCACCACGACCACCCCGAGTACTAAGCGAGGCCCGCCCTGACCAGCACATCGCCCCTGCGGTTCGGTAGCTCGCCCACAGCACGACAGGCTGCGGGTTCAAACCCGGTGACTCCCCCACTTCGAGGCCGCCCGTTTCGGGCCCCGCTCCTAGGCGGAGGGACCGTGACCCATTCCCACGCAGGCCCGGACCACGCGGGAGCCTCTCGCGCACCGTGTACGCAGCGAGTACGGCGTCCCCGATAGCGGAGGACTGTGCGGCGGCCGGGACCCAGGCCCGGACTGCGGGGAAAGCACCCGGCGGACCGAGGCGCGGGCCCCACAGGAGGGTCCTTACCAGGCCACGGCGGCAGGCGACCGACGACCTCTGCGGCCGGAGCCCGAAGGTCCCTCGGCTTTGGGCACCGACGACGCACGGCGTGGCCGACCCCTCGCCGGCGGCCGAGGACTCGGATTGGCGGGGACGGGCGCGAGCGGAGGCGTGGTCAGGGCCGGGGCGGGGCCGCGGATGGAGGCCGAGCGTGGGGCGGGAGGGGCTGAGCACGCGGGACCCCAACTCCAGACCGGGCGGGGTGACTCGGCAGCCCCGAGGTCTGAAGGACTGGAAGAGCGATCGGGTCCCGGATGTGTGGTTAAAGAGCACCACATTCACCCCGAAAGACTGGAGGTTTGCAGACCGGCAGGAGGCCCCTGGGGCCGGGCGTGGTCTCTGGACTATTTTAATGGGCCTTTATGTCAGTCATCCTCTGTGGGTACTTTTAGTTCTGCTGAAGAATTTACAAAGTGTTTTCTACGGCAAGAGTTCTTAAAAAGGAATGGTCACTTCTGCACCTTAGAAGTGCTGCCGAAGGTATGGGCTCCAGGCATGCCTGCATTTGAGGTTGACAAGGGACACTCGCAGCCTACCAGGCTAATTGTAATACTTTCAGCCCTGCAGGGACAATGACAGTAAAACCTTGGTCTGCCGGCATACTTCCTTCCGGAAACAGGCTTGTAATCCAAACCCCTTGTATATCAAAGCAAATTTCCCCATAGGATATAATGGAAACCCAGGTGATTCGTTCCACAGCCCAAAATACTCATATGGGGATGATTACAATACTGTAATATAATGTAAAATAATAAGGGAATAAAGAAAAGTAAACACATTAACCTGCACTTGCCTTTGGAAACTTGCCTGGCCGGTGTGAGGGAGACGGGAGGAGGGTTATTGTGTAGGACTTTCGAAGTCACCAGCTCACTAATGGAATCCCTGCTGTCTATTGGCTGAATGGAAGCTTTTCCTTTTCATGCAACTTTAACAAGAAGCCTGTCCAATGACACTGGCTTTTGCCTCCTTTTGAGGATTTCGTGGAAATGTGACATTGCCTTGTCATTAAATTCATTGCTTACGTGGCTACAGCCTCTTGGGGTGGTGCTTTTCTGTAAAATTTTGCATTGTTTCTCACCTTTTACACATCTCCCTAAAATCATTTGAAGTGAGGCATTTCTCTACTTTTTTCTCCTCTACCTCTGCAGATGAGTTCTCCTTAACCTCTGGCTGTTGGGAGAGAGAGAGAGAGGGAGGGAGGGAGAGAGAGAGAGGTGACATTAGGTGTCACCTACCACTCCTATTGCAAGACATTGCTCATAAATCAAGATAAAATGTAATGTTTACTCATCTTGCAGAACATTAACAGAACAAGTTACTCACAGTCCCAGGTTTTGCTGTTCTCTTGTACCTGACCGTTGGCCTAAAGATTTCACCTGCAAATGGGCAGAGTGCAAATCTTACATAACTTCATCACTCCATGGGGGTGGGGCTTGATGTTGGCCACGTAGATCTGGGTGATAGTGTGAGTGGGGGTGATGTGGAAAGCCCAGGAGAACAACTTGGACTTATTCTTCACTTCTCCTCCAGAGTCTACAATCTGGTAGTTGGCTGGCTGAGCACAGCCTCTCAAAGATCCTGACCACCCTACCAAGCTGAGTTAGGTTCTACAGAGTTGGGTTTGGTGACCCTATGAGGGAATGAAAGTTGGACACACTGAGAAATTCATTGCTCTCCCGACAATGAATTGTGTCTCATAGAAATATTTTTAAAATCCCTTATTGGTAAGCATATTTGGTTAGTAAAGCTTTCCACAAGGCAAGCGGATTCTCATAGCTACCATGTTCTACACAGATACCTCAGATGTGGGAAATTAACTCAAAGTTTAGCTTCAAAAAATACAGGAGCATGTGTCAAAGACATACCTAACCCCTCAATTAGGACTTGAGTCCTTTGGAGATGATTAGGATTAGAAGTTACAGGAGTAGGGGCTCATGGTGGGTAGTGGGTTTGTAGGAAGAGGAAAGGAGACTTGAGCTAGCCTGGCTGCTCTGTCCTGCCATGTGATGCCCTCTGCCATGTTATCCTGCCCTAGGAAGGGCCTGGCAGGACGCAAGCACCTTGATATTGGACCACCAGCTTCCGGAACTGAGAGCTGACTTCTCTTGTCTCAGTCTGTGGTATTCTGTGAGAGCAACATAAAATGGACTGAGACCCAGGCACTACTCGTGATTCTTGCTTGATCTTTCCCCATGGCTAAAAATCTCACAGTGAGTTTCCCTTTGCCTTCTGAACAAATCTCAACCTCTCAGCCTGGCGTATAAGGCCTGGGGGATTGGGCCTTCGGCCTCTTGCCCAGTCATCTCTCTAACCCCAGGTGACCAGCACTTTCCCTCTCAGATGAGTTTGGGATGCTCGACTTCTCAGAATCTCCATGTTCCATGTGGACCCAGGAAGACCGACCCACCCGGTGGATACACTTTCTCCTCCTGAGGTCCTATACTCGCTCAGGCTTGTATTCTTCACGAATTTATCTCACAGAGTTCACTTATGATTAATAATTTCTCTCACTACTCCCCTAAGGGCACACCCGGGAAGACATCCACCTTATATTAAAGGCCACTTCCCATCTCTGGCAGACTGATGGAAAACACTCCCCGAGTGCCTGTTGGAAGATTTTGGTCTAGCCTGAGTGGTTCCACATGTGATAATAGCTTCTGGGTGAATTGCTATCCTCTTATTAAATTGTCAGAAGGTGTTAACTTGTGTGTTTTGGTGCTTTGAAGGATTTCTTTGTCAGTAGGTGGTAACTCAAGGCAGTAGGATTTGAGCATTGGCAGCGTCTTGTGTTCAGATGGACTAGGAAAAGTGGTACCAGGAAAACCAGTGTCATTCAACTCCATAAATTTCAGAGGAGGTGGAATCAATTATAGAGTCTTCTATTGCTCATGAAGGATTATTAGTATATACTACAGTAGACCCTTGACTAACAAACTCGATCAGTTCCTGAGGGCTGGTTGTAACTCACTTTGGTGGTAAGTCAGTACAGCTGAGATCTGCATGTTTCCCTGAGTACACGCTATAGATAACAAGAGGCAGATGAATCTTTCATTAACCTAATTAACCCAAGTTCTTTGTATGTCAGGCCGGCTGTAACTCGAGGGTCTGCTGTATATGTTCTGTATCATAACTGTTTCCTGCTTTAGTTTGATGACAGTACTTGAGATAGATTAAATCTGTGTCATTACTTTACAGAATTCCCTTTTCCCTAGCTAGGTTTTCTATCACCTTTCCGTATAATCGCATATGTTGATATCAGATATTAAAAATAATATTGCTGGAACTCTACCTGTTTGAGTGTTCTTTTTTATTTCCAGCTATAATTTAGAATAGAAAGACATTTCAGAAGCAAACATTTGACTCATTTTATCACTTCTGCCTAAAGTCCTACCCCCTGCATGATTTGTTCCTTCAGGAGAGCCTGTTAATCCACTCTTTTTGTACGTTGCACAAGTACTCACCCAAACTTGTACTTGATGTTTTTCAACTACTTTTCTGCAGTACAGGAATCTCTCTCAGATATCCTCCTCTGGGAAGGATTGGAACTGATGTGACTGTAAGAAATGCTTGGTTTTTTTCCCATCCACTCCAGTTTTTCATGTTTACACCAACGATTAACTTACAAGCTGTCCAAATGCGTCGAATAGAACAAGGATGATGGCTACAACAGAGCCCAGGAGAAGCACAAAGAGATCACCAAATACGTGTCAAGCACAACGTCATATACTTTGTGTTTATCGAAGGACTGAGATGCTACAGAACAGGGCCCAGGGAAGGAGAGAGCAGGTGAGATGCTTGTGGTAAACAAAGGTGACCTCACCTTCCCTCGTGTACTGGAAAGAAGAAAGTTAAGAATCCCATGCACAAATCACCACCTCAAGAGTTTAAAAATTATCGCAAAGGTACAGCAGTTTCTCATTTGTGAATTCTATTGTCATGAGTCTTCATGCTTTTGAAATGTATTTGTAACCCGCAATTGGCACTCACAGGGCCGTGGCAGCCATTCGTAGACACACCCACAGTCGGAGGCAGCCACAGCTGAGTGGAGCACAGTGAAGGTCTGTCTTATTTCCACTGCTGGCTATAAACAGCTGTCCTTGCAGTTTAGCTGGTGCTGTGTTTCATATGTTTGTGCCTTTTGTTGGTGACTTTGCTGTTTAAGATATCCCCCAAGCATAATGCCGAGTGCTGTCTTGTGTTCCTAAGCACAGGAGGACTGCGATGTGCCTCACGGAGAAAATGTGCTTGTTAAATAATTTGTTCAGGGGTGACATATAATGCTATGGGCGAGTTCCAAATTTGACAGTACTCATCGTTCCTCCTTGATTTTTACCTGTGGCTGAAAATCTCAGAGTGTTTCCCCTTCTGAAAAAACTGCAAATTCCAAAATCTAAGGATGCTCAAATCTCTTATATAAAGTGGTCTAGCATTTGTATATAACCTAGGAACACCAACATATACTTTAAATCATTCTAGATTACTTAAAATACCCTAATGTTAAGTGAAATAAGTCAAATGTACAGGCTTCAATATCGCACAGTTTCTCGTACATGACAAGCCCGATATATAAATAAATTAAAGACCAAATAATACGTAGATAGTAGGAAACAGCGAGACAGGTCTTTTGCAAAAGGGGAGGGGACCAAGAGGTGAAGAGAGGGAGGGGCAGAAAGGGGACATGAAGAGAATTAAGGGTATCCACCCTTCACCATGAATGTAATCACTGTGTACTACGAACAAGTCCTAATAGGAAATTCAAAGTATAATGACATCTAATGATATGAAAATGCTGTGTAAATCATTATGTCCTATTATTATTATTATTATTATTATTTGGCACCGGGGATCTGTTGTGTCTAGATTATGAAGTCTCAAAGACCACCAGGAGGCCGTTTCCGATGTAAGCACACGAGGGTCGTTTATTCAAGCTTAAGCAGGGACTCTCAATTGTCACCGACACAGTGGATCAAGATTGAGAGCCCCGAGTTTTAAATTAGCAGGGTTTTTATAGAGGTTACAGCAAGCTTCGGTCATTAGCAGCCATATGATTGGTTAACATTTAGCAAGTATGAAGTGTAGAATTT